ATGGACCGAGGGCCAGCCCATGTGTGCATGGGCCAGACAAATTCCAAAGTGACCACCAAACGTCAGGTGGTCTCATAAACAAAGCTTATAAGCGCGTAGTTTGTTAATGAAAGCTAAATATGAGCAGCTACAAATGCAAACCTTGTTCTCAACGCCTCGCTTGGAGAAAGGAGAGTTACAACTTCCTCAATAAAAATGTATTCATCTCACCTTAAAAACGATGTTATATGCCATGGTCCCCTGGATGAAGGCGTGATAATTTAATTAAATTGATACCTTATAATTGTCGGTTACTTTGATTTTCGTCTGATTATCGTACCTTTGAGCTGGAGTTAGGTCCTCGCTTGGGCTTTTCCTCTTAATTCTCTTTAGAATGCATATATCTAGCCCAACGTGCTGCCTTTTTCACCTGCTGGAAAGCCTCAAGGTGGAGCTAGAAGCGGTGCCAAAGTAATGGATGTCTACTTTCCTCACAAGTGTAGGGTTGAGTGAAACTTTGTGTTTGGCATCTCCACTTTCAGTACTTCACTGACAAGCTATTAATAATTGAAGTGGAAAAGCGGTGAATCCTATGATTAAAGTAATCTTTAAGGTCATTTTTACTGCATCCGGGGGAAGTTGTCGGCTATGTTATTACGCAATCTCTTCTTCCATAGGGGCCTGTTCTCTATCTTTGTTCTCAGCTAGAGATCTTTTTATATCATCGTTCTTACGCTCAGCCTTAAATAATGCTTTCATGACTCCGTATTTGCACATATAAACCTTTTCTTAGGTTTTGCTCTATTGGTTTATTAAATGGTAGGAGCTTTGTTTTAGGACACTTTAGCGTGGGCCCTTTTTTAAACATATCCGGCTGGATTATTCGTATGGGTTGATAATGTGGTTATCGCCTCGCTTGTTCGCCTTGCCAGTAAAGGCTGCAGAAAAATTCGCCAAATACGCGTCTTTTAGTCCGACTCCACTTTCTTTAAAAACCCTGACTTCTTTTGGTTGCTTTGCTTTGTTCTTTTTACTGGTATATCCTATTAGGTAAAAACCCTAGAGCAGATATCATTCAATCAACCCGTTTTTTGAGCACAGAATTGCCTGTCAGGATCGCGAATATTTTGCAAGAGTTACATTTACTCCCTAAAAAGTTAATAGAAACTCCTTCAGCCTCTTTAGTGACTAGTTGGTATGTTTGTGGCCTTACCGAGTTCCTCCACTTTAGGTATGAAGAGTCGTTTATGAGTCTTATAGACTTTGAGAGCAAGGATTTAAACGCAAAGGAGTGTGAAAATTTTCTGGTGTTTTTGGACAAAGCTTTATCTAGGCACAGTACTGTTGTTGAAACAATGGCAGCGGTAAGTTCCCGTTTATGCCTCAAGGACTTTCGCTTAAAGGGTGTCATGGAAATGCATGAAAAACACGGAGAAGATCCTGTCACCAATAACCAGCTGCAGTACTTCCTAGACCGGCTTTTCTTGATGCGAATTGGCATTCGCATGCTGGCAAGTCAGCATTGTGAGTGTTAGTGGTACTCCTAACTCGTGTAGTTTTCCCTAAATACATCAATCTAGTTCGTTTTCATCGTCCTATAGTGTTGGTTTTCGGTCCTGAATTTAACAAGCACCATCGATTTGTTGGATGCATTGACCAGCACTGCAACGTCGTCCACATACTTAATGACGCCTACGACGACGCAAAACTGCTCTGTGATCACTATTATGCGGAATCACCAGGGATGGACGTATCTCTTGTAAATGGTGCGTTTTGCCATCCCTTTCTTTTAACGGAGATTAATTTGTTTTACCTTTTCTAAAGCTTCACTATCTTGCTTCCATTGAGTAATCTTCTGTACTGAAATAGGGCACGTATAAACCGGCTGATTTCACTTTAGCTGGGTGTTTCTTATCGTCTTGTTTGGTGCGACATTGGTCGTGTCTTCTATTACCTGCGTGGATTTCGTGTGATGCTTGCTTCTCATTCCTCTGAACTCGTGTTTTACAGCTCTGAGCTTATGCTCTCTGAATGAATTGTACTCCATTTTGAAGCCCTTACGTGCTTACTTACTTTCCCCCTGTTATCCCTACAGATGCAAATGGTGTTATTGAATTCGTCTACGTGCCCTCCCACCTCTACCATATTCTTTTTGAGCTTCTTAAGGTAAGTCGTCAATAGTGGAGTTGCTCATTTTCAGTGATTGTTTACCTACTCATGAACTGTTATGATTGTCTGTGTGATTAATGTTAAAGTACACCACAGTGCCAAAAGTACGTAGATGCATTAAGTGGATTTGCCCTTCTGTTCTGTTTTCGGTGCATGATAGCTATATTGTCGTTTTGTGGATTGCATGCCTGATGTCACATTTTGGACCTGGAATTCCTTCCATTTTGCTGTTTCATTATTTACTTGAAAATTGACTAGCCAATTCGCTCTCACCACTTTTTAAGAAGTAATTTTGGAAAACATGCTTGACAAATTTCATTCCATATTATCAAAGGCCTCCGGAAGGTGGGCCCGTTACTTCTGCCGATCGTTAAAAATATTGTATAAATATGTTTCGCGCCTCCACACATTCGATTTTAGTCTCCACTGCGTCTAATTCATCACCACGTTTGGTTTGCAGTTGGTTTTGCCTTGCTTCGCCATCCCTTTCTATCCTTCCCTGTGTTGTGCGACTTAGTTAATAAAAATCAAGCAGCTTTTATAATTGACGGCGATAGCAAGTGTGCTGGCTACTTTGTTATTATTGATGGATTAGACGCTTTTAAAAATCAGATGACTTTGGTAGACTAACGGCTTTCCCCTTAAAACAATTGACGAAGCGTGGGGATAAATAAGTAGCATTTAAAGTGACTGCAAATGGCCTTAAAGAATTAATGAGTCGCGCTATTAGCGCGTATGCACGTAGTTTGTTTATGTTTTATCGCGATTCTCTTGCGCATCAAGTATCATCTTATTTGTTTATCGTCGCCGCCTTTTTGGAGTGCTAACTTCGGGCTCACTTGTAGATGACGGTCTCCGGCATGTGGCAACTCATTGGCTTCTAATATAAATATACGGACCACTTTTTTTCTTTTCCTAAAAAGCTTGATTGAAATCGTCTTGTACTAAAGGGATGTCTTTTGACGGGATTGTTTTTAAAGAACTGGAAAATTTGTTGCCAAGCAAACTGGTCTGCCAAAGTTGCGATCAAATGACCACATTTTGGTTTTGGAATGTATTCCTCCATGCTGTTTCTACAATGGCTCTGATAATTATTGTTGCTGTTTTCTTCGCCTATTTAATGCATATATTGGCATCAAAGTATACAACACGGTTTATTTGAGAGCAGTTGTAATTATTTTTCTCATTTTCGACCTAAGTTGCATAGTTGTCGCTGACCAGCAGCCCATTTGCCATTATGTACAAAATGGTCTTGATAGTCTGTAAGGAATAATTATAGTTCTGACGTTATTGTACCCCACTTCCCGATGCGTTCCGCTTTTTTGCTTTTCAGTAAGTTTTTGACCCAAACTAACTGCATTTATTGGAAGCGTGTGCGCTCTTTACTATTATCTTCGTCTCCTCCCGATGTAACATAATGACCTCTTTCATAGAACGCTCTTCGTGCCGTAGTGGAGAAGGGTCGAAAGTCTATCAACGATGAGTACCCAGCTATCAAGGTTCTGATTGTCAGTGGTGAGCACAATGTTACTATCAAGGTTGGTTTGAAATTTAATGTGCCTTTTGCTTAAAATTAGGCGTTGTAGTTTACTCGCCGCTTGAGGTAGCCTCCGCTTGCGTTGTCGTCAAATTTTCATGTGTACAGCTAGCTCTCATGGTGGTCTGCACGTGTACCAATTCAACGTCCTTTAGTTATCCTCACAGCCTCATCATCCAATCGTATGTAAAAATAAACTATTTTGCGCATTATTTCATGTGTGACTAATAATGTCTCTCAGTGAAACAAGTAAGACGTCAACACCTTCTGAATAGTCACGAGCTCTTCTCTGTCTTCGTAGCCAATTAATTTAATATGATTTCGCAAATTTATGATTTTGGGATGGATTCTGAGTTGATAGGGCTAAATTCCTCTAGTCTCTAAATTGAACAATTTTTGTTAAAAGTTGTCTGTATCTTTCACATTTTGTGGCAAGTGGCGGTCATAACCCAGGAGGTGAAGAGACGCGTGTTAAACTTGAGATGTTTTTTTGGCTTTAATACTTTGCAGTGTTTTCATCCTCCCCCCTCTGTCCCCCCCTACTTGCTAAGTGCTTACTTGGGGAAAAAAGAAACCAATCTCCACCGTACCCGTGCCTTTCATTTGATACGCCTAGTTTCAAATTCAAAGACACGCACACAAAGTACATTTCTGTGTTGCCGTTTGTCAACAGATCTGACGGCCTCGTTATTTATGTAAGTACACTTCACTATGCAACAATATGGTTGGGGTTAGGGTTGCTTGAGCCAGTCTAGAAGTGCGCATGTATTATGCTCTTCCCATTGACTACGCCTACTTCTATTATCAGCAAGTTGTTCAGATTTTTGCATTTTTCTTCGTTGGTCGTTCTTTGAGGAGGCTTTTGTCCTACACTGAGGAACTTCACAAGGATATACTTACAAATCGTGGGTAAGGTGGAG